GTGTCAGATCCGAGGGATCTCTGCTGGTCAGAATCCCACAGCAGCCAGAAACACAGGAGGGAAGACATATTTAGGACAGAAGACCAGGACCAGCCAGGCGAGGTTTCAGGAGGACCTGAGGGAAGATAGCATGGAGTGAGGAGGCAGATGGCACTGTCTGTTGCTTCTCACAAGCCCAGTGGACGCCTGTCCTGTCTAGAACGCTGACTGGTCAGCTGGCTTTGGGGTACAGAGAGAAGGGCCTCCAAGAGCCTAGCTTCGTCTTACCATATGGTGACAGGTTCCTGGACTTCTGCAGCCCTGGCTCACTTCCCCTTCCCATTGTTCCTCTCTAACAGGAGTTTCAAAGCTCCTGGTTTGACGTACAACTTGTAATTTTCCTGTTTCACCATCTTCTGCACACCAAGGAAAGGATGAGACATGGCCCCGGGGGCACAGGCCAGAGAGGCAGAGCCAGGCATGTTCTTTAGCTACCTACTGGTCCTCTCCTGGGTATGTGGGACCCCGGAGTTAGAGCCAACTCTGCCACGGCTGCTAGAGACATGGTACTAGTCAGCTTTGGGGAACTGCCAGGCCTTGCCAACCGGGCAAGTGCTCCCTCTAGGGACTCTCGGGAGGAGAGCTTAGTGAGGGTGTGTTTGGGGTGGGTAGGTAACCATGACTGAGCTGGGGCTGTGTCTCTCCTGCTCACCAGGCCAGGCTCCAGCTTCAGCCATGCCTCTTCGGCCACACAGATTTTGCTCATGTGTCCCAAAGCCTCCATTTCTCTCCTGGGACATGGGATCCCCTCACCTCCAGAGAACAGCACAGCCTTTGGAGCACCAGGTGGGGCAGTGTGTTCAAGTCCTGCCTTTCTGCCCTGTCTCTTGTCCTTCCCACCCCTGGCAGGGACCCCTCTTCAACTGGCTTCTTCAAATAAGTTCTCTGTCCCTCGTCATTGTCACGAGCAGGTGAAAGTGCATTGTGATCTTGTCCTAGTGGACAGAGGTCTGGATTGGAGAGTACTCCGCCCTGAATGTGAACCATCTGGGCCAGCCCCCCAGTACCTTCATACCCCATCAGTTGGAGAGGGCTGTGGGGAGTGCGGGACCCCTACAGGCTGGGCTTCAGTTTCTTCCTTGACCCTCACATTCTGAGAAGCTGCCCATCTCCCAAATGGATTCCCTGAGTCCCTAGAGGTCAGCTGACCTGGCAGCAAGGTTAGATGGGCCCCAACCCCGGCTGCTCACTCAGGGTTCACTCCCAGCAAGACAGCCTGATGTTCTTAGAGTCTCACTTCGTGGGCAGGATCCTGTCTCACAGTCCTTGCTGGCCAGTTGGAGGTTGGATAACACTTGAATCCCATGAGAGGAGGCTGTGGTTCTGAGGTGGGGACACTGGCATCTTAGGGGATGTGTGAATGAGTTCACTTGTCTCCCATGTCCTTAACCAAGAGCCTTAGGCACAGGTGACTCTCGTCAAGGTTGTTCCTAAAACAACAGCTCAATCCTTGATCCAGGTACCAAGCCCACAGGTCCCCATTGGTGCCTGGAGGGCCCAACAGGGCACACGAAGTCTCTGTACCTACTTACAGGGGTGATAGCTATACCAAGAGCTGTCTAGGAATTCTGCCAAATGGGCTCTCTGACCCTTTGACCTACCGACCTACCAAAGCTGGCTTCTTAGGGGTTGGGTTTGTTCAGGCCACAGGAACAGTTTTGGGGGTCACACTTGCTCCAAACTCCTCGGTTGTCTTTTCCAGGGAACTGTAACAGCCTGATCTCCTCCCAGACTCTGCCTTGGATTTCTGGGCCCAGAGAGCTTTGCCCTTTGCTGCCTACCGCCAACTCTCATCCGCGCTTCCTACCACCAGCCCCAACACCTGGCAGCACTGCACCCCCGCGTCTCTGTCACACTTCTGCGTTGGGCTGTGGGTGTAGCCAGTGTAAGTCTGCTGGGGCGGGGACAGCTCATTTCTTCACTCTCTCCGGAGATATTTTCTCTCTTCTTTTCCTTACTTTGAGACATTGTCGCCTAAGAGTCTGTGATTCACTATGGAGCCCAGACTGGCTGCAAACTCAAGGCAATTCTCCTGTCTCAGTCTTCCAACTACCAAGATTACAGAGGAGCACCCCTACCCTTGGCTCTAGATATGTCTTCTGATTCTCACAACTGTGTACCCCGTACCCCTATTCAGCACGTTATTTGTCGTCTTAGACCCTGGCTGCTCTCTAACCTCTTCCTCAGGAGCCCCCTGCAGCTCATTTCCCACACCACGCCCCTGTGGTCTCCCCTCACCTCTTCTTTTCCTCTGGTTGCTCTTCCAGAGCAGCCCAGACTGCCTCACTGTTCCCAGCCAGCCACTCCTTCGAGACAGGTAGCCAGAGGTCAGTCCTGCACCTTACCCTGCCCATCTGTGCTGGGTACAAGGTCAGGCTTCTCTGAAGAGCCCAGGGTTCTTCTGCAGTTACATCAGCGGTAGAGACAGGGCTGCCTCACGTCTGTCTATGCGTCTTGGTTTCCACCGATATGGCCTAAAATATGAGATGAGTATATCTAGCCATTTCTATCGAGCACCTACTGTGTGCTAAGGATAGAGAATGGGGTTATGAGCATGTCACAGCCCCTGGCTCTGATAGGAAATGTCCAGAAAGCCATCCTAAGTCTGAACAAGGGCAGAGGCGGTCAGAAGTGGGAGATGACCTTGATCTTTGGTGTTCACTGAAGGATGTTCTGGAGATCAGGGAGACATGGAGGTCTTGTAGGCATCTCATGGATTGGCAGCCTCAGACTTGCTCTTCAGCACAGTGGGAACTCAGGAGGGCAGCGTGTGCCACGAACAGCTCCAGCTACTGTTCGTGAGGGCAACAGGTGTGACTTGGAGAGAATGGTCGGGAGGGGTCTGTAGTCCAGACTAGAGATGCTAAGGACTAGGGATAAGGAGGAGAGGGACAGGTAGAGTCAAGAGGAGGGTCTAGGAAGTGTTTCCAACTTCTTATTTATTATTTACAATGTTAATTACATGTCTGTGTGTGTATCTGAGTGTGGACTTGTGTACTTGCAAGCAGTGCCCGAGTGTGTCAGATTCCTAGAGCTGGAGTTACAGGTAGTTGTGAGCTACCATATGCAGGTGCTGAGTTAGGCTTAGGCTTGCGAGTTGATATTGTCCGACATCCATAGCTATCCCCATAAAGAGTTCATGGGCAGCAGATTGGACACCCCTGATACAGGATGAAAAATCCTCAGGGCCTGGCCTGCGTGTCCTGAAGTGACAGGGTGAAGCCAAGATTTTGTGGCCTTCACTTTCCACACAGGAAACCAAGACCCTAGGGAAGTGACTTAGCCCAAGGCTCCAGCTAGTCCAGGGGCCGAGAGCACCTATCCAGCTTTCTCAAGGCTAGTGCTATATATAGGACAGCTACTGCTCTCTGCCCCAGCCATGTTGGCCACCACTGCACACCAGCATGGGCCGATGGGTCAGTAATTCATTTGGGATTTTCACCGAAGTGTTTTTTTACAATAAGATGGGAAATCCTTGTCCAGCTGTGACAAGTGTTCCGTGCATGTCAGTACAGCTGGAAAGTGTGCAAGCTGGCTTCTTCCTGCTCCCTTGAGCAGACAGAGCTCCTGGCCAGTATGCCCTGCGCTCCATAGTTGGTTGGGCACTTTACACCTCTCTGGGTGAGCAGTTTCACCCCTGCTTTGATGAGAAGGAGTGAAAGCTCTCTGAACATCCCCTCCCCCAACACACACCTGAATGTCTCATCCTTCCAGACCTGGGTTCCTTGGAATGGACCACGGATCAATGGTCCGTGCCATTGTCACCTCCATCCTTGTCTGGGGGCTGGTGAGCTCATTGCTGTTGACCCTCCAGCCCCAATGGGGTCCTCGCTGGCATGGGCAGACAGCCTGGAGCCATTGACAGTGAGGAAGGCTGGGAAGCCCAGCCTTTCCCCGTCAGTCATTTCACAGTAGTTTTAGTGGCCTTAGGCTCCGTGACAATTCTTGAGAACAAGGAATTGTCTGTTTATCGCTGCCTCCTACCACAGGAATGTGGGGGTGTCCAGTATACAGTGGGTACTTAGGAAATGCTGGCTGGTTGTAGCTGAACCTGATTCTGCTCTCCTGAATGCTGCCCAGGGCCATGCCTGTCCCCCTGTGCTTGGAGATGGCAGGCAAAACTAGTGGGACTCCCAGAAGCTCCTGTGTGAAGGGTTGGGCACTCTGTGTTCATGAGACCTGGGTTAGGTTTATCTTGGCATATTTGAGTGGCAGAACCCTGGAGAGGTTCTTTTGCCCTGGGTGCCACAACATCCCCAACAGGTAGAATTTAAATTGCTCTTAGTGCCCCCAAGGCTTTGGCATTATGTCCCAGGAGCATATTGCCCAAGCACAAGTATTTAGGATACTCTCTGACTTCTACCAGACAGTGGAACCTAGGATTCAGGGGGTGTCACTGTCCTCCATTCCTTCAGCTCCCACTGCAGCAACCCCTCTGGCCAGTCAATCATCCAAGATCCCTGCCTGAGAGGACCCTAGTCCCTGGCCCATCCCCTAAGAAAGGGGTCTAGGACAGACTGGTTCATGCTGGACTCAGGTGGGGTGGGGCTGATGTTTGAGGCACGGGCTGAAAGCTTTGATCCGCAGTGGGAGGAGCTTGTGTCCACGTGAAGGGGTCTGGATGAATCTCTGTGGGCACAGCTTTTTCTCCTGGGACGGATGGCTGGCGAGGGAGTGACTTCAGGAGACATTGATATGAGACCATGGGTCCCTGTGCATGGGGTGTGTGTATATGTGTGTGTGACTATAGTGTTGGGTGCCGGGTGGGCAGTTGGGGTCGGACTGCTGTGTGGCTCTTGTGTGGTGGCTTCCGAAGGGAAGGAAGGAGGCGGCTGAGAGCGCCCCCAGAACTGGCCCTTTGGCCGTTGAGGGCTCCAAGACGCCAGCCCCGCCCTCCCAGCGCGAGACCACGCCCACCGCATCCCCGCCCAGAGGGAGGCCCCGCCCCCGGCCTGCTTTTGCGCTCCGAGCGCTCCACGCTTCGCCGCCGCGAGCAATGGTTCACAGGGCCCGGTGCTGGGCGCGCGGCCCCGGGCGGAGGCGCGGGGCCGGGGCGGGACCCCACGGGGTCGCCGGGCTTGCTGCTAGCAGCCGAGTATAGTCGTAGAGGACGCGGGGCGCGCGTGGGCCGGGGTGAGCATGAGGACTCTCCGCAGGTTGAAGTTCATGAGTTCGCCCAGCCTCAGTGACCTGGGCAAGAGGGAGCCGGGCGCGGCGGGTGCGGACGAGCGGGGCACGCAGCAGCGCCGAGCCTGCGCCAACGCCACCTGGAACAGGTAAGGCGCGCAGCCCGGAGCGGCGTGGCTGGAGACGGTACCGCGCCACTTTGCGCGCAGCTCGCCCCGCCGCCGGGCCGCGCGCGGGGAGGGAAGCGAGTGCAACGTGTCGGCGGCTCGAGCCCGCGATCGCGCCCCGGGGGCGGGTGGCCCCGAGCAGGAACTGCCTCTGCGCCCCCACTTCGCAGGGGCGCACTTGAGCTTCGTGGGGCCCCAGCGGGGCGCCGCTGCACTTCCTGTATGCGTGTCGGGCTTTCGGCGCGGGGTGGGCGGTGGCTTCCCCCTAGTTGGACCCCGGGCCTCCCAGCTGTCCGTGGGGGTGCGGCAGCTGCCAGACATTCCTTACCGGACCCTTCCGGAGGCCCATCCCGGACCAGCCGGGCGTGGGAAGCCCCTCCCCCAGCTGTACTTTCAGAGCCAGAGTCACAGATACTTCTTTTAGCCGAGTTCCCCAATGGGTCTCCTCTTGGCCCCTTTAAAAATAAGTATTTCTACCCAGAGTAAAATACGGATCGAGGGAGTGTGAGGCAGGCTGTCGAGGGAGGTCTATGGATGCTGGCTCTCCTCTCCACCCCTCCACCTGGCGGTGAAATCCTGCCAGGTGCTTCGCCCGCTGTGGTCTGCCACCAGGGACCCGGCTGTCACTTGGACACACATCTTCTGTTCATCTAGTCTTCTGTTCATCTAGTGAGCAGCCCGGGGAAGATAGGGCTGCCAACTGGGACCTTATCTTTCACCCTCCGCTAAGCTGCAGATCGCTTGAGAGCCAAGACTACCTTCCTGCCTCGGTTTCCCTCTATCTTAGGCCTGCACAATTCTCCTCACTGGGCTGGGAGCAGAACAGTAAGAAGGAAGGTTCCTTTTGCCCCAGAGCTGCTCACTGGTGTCTTCACCCTCTTCCTTGTCTCTGGCCAGGATTTAGTGGAGCCAGGCTAACTTTGGCTCAGATTTCAACTCTTACTTCTCTGCTGGGTGACCTTAAGTTGCTTACTACCTCTGGTCCTCAGTTTTTTTATCAATGATATGGGTGAGTGGCTGTTGTTGGACTAACTATAAAAATGTGTAATAAAGGCTCTGGACATGGCTTCTGGCACAGTGGGAACCCTGTGACTCAGAACTCAGGTCAGGGCACATTGAGAGAACGCCTATAGGTGTGATGTCTGGGGACTTAAATAAAAGTGACTTTGTGGGGACTCTTTCACTACCACCTGGGGGGCCTCTAGCTCAGAGGACTTAGATGGCTCCTCACCTTGTGTGGTTGTGAGGGGATCTGCTTTTTGCCAGAGCTCTGGGGGGCCTTGCAAGGAGAGATCACTCGAGTCTCCCACGGGCTTTTCCTTTGGTGGCCTGTCAGACTGCAGAGGCTTGATTGGAGCTCCCACAGTATCCAAGCAGCTCCTATGTCCATCCTTTAGGGTGGAGGCTCCCCCTGCCTGTGACAGCGGGGCTCTGCTGTGTTCTGTGCTCCTATCATGTACCAGCCTGTTCAGGGCCCTCAGTTCACCTTGTCATGATCTTAGCCAACAAGGAAAATTCTACCCTCCACCCCAGATGAGAGACACAGGGTTACCCAGAGCACCCAGGACCCATACTGCACACCATTGCACGACTTGGTTCCGGGTCCGCTACCAGACAGGTGTACCCTCAGACACAAAGTAGTGATGGATTTGAGACAGTGTGCCCAGAGTTTCCTCCCAAAGTCCCCTCCCAGCCCCTGCCTGTCTTCCTGCTCCTCTCCCAGTGTACGCCTGCAAGGGCTCCAGGACATCAGCCTCAAACAGGGTCACAACAGCTGTATCAGCCTGTGGATCCTGGCTAGCCCTTCAAGCTGTGGCCCTCATTCTGAGCCCAGGCATGGCCCCCTGTACCTCCTTGACCTCATTAGTGTCCTGGGACTGTAGAGTCATGCCACACTGGGCCACCCCAAATAACAGGAGTGTGTTCTGGCACAGCTAGATGTGGGGGGTGACCTGGCTGCCTCCCTCTGGGGACTCCAGAGAGGGTTCTGGCTTTGCCTCTGCTGGCTCTGTTGTCCTTGGTTGAGTGCAGATTTGTTTTAGTTCCGTCTCTGTCTTCAGAGCTTTTTTTAGCCAGGTCTCTGAGTTTTGGGGGGAATGTTTTTTTTTCTTTCTGTTGTTTCTTGAGATTTCTTGTGTATGAGTGCCCCCCCCCCCACCGTGTGTGTGACTGGTGTCTGCAGAGGACAGAAAAAGGTGTTGGATTCCCTAGAACTGTAGTTACAGGTAGGTGCTGCGAACCCAGGTCCTCTGCACGAGCAGCCCAGTGCTCTCAACTTCTCAACTGCTGAGCCACCTCTCCAGCTCCCTAGGTTTTTGTTTTGTTTTGTTTTGAGACAAGATCCCAACATATCCCAGGATGGCCTGGAATTCACTAGGTAGCCAAAGATGATCTTGAACTTCTAGTCCTCCGACCTCCACCTCTCCTAAGGTTAAGGTTTCTATGATTGCAGGCATGTGCCACCACACCTGACCCAAGTTTCTTTTGTGTATGAGGCCACCAGCCACCATTTGAGGGCCACCTCAACCCAGGACCACTTCATCTCTAGGTTTTAGCCCATTATAGCTGTAAAGAGCCTCTTTTCCTGTCAGATTTGAAACTTTAGCTATACACAAACACCTGGGGACAGTGTCTAGCCCACTATAGTGACAGTGAGTACATCCCCCAAATTCCCTCCAAAGTCGTTGCTGTGTCCTAAGATAGTCCACGCACTCAGTCATGTATTCATTCATTCATTCATCCATTCATTCATTTTCTCGGTGTTGGCTGGACCAGGCTAAGATCTTGGTTTAGCAGCAAACAGCCTGTTCAGGCTGACCCTAGACCGGGTCAGAAAGTAAACAAAGGGGCTGCCAGAGCAGGAGGTAATTACTGGTGGCACTTAGCACTTGGAGGACGTAGAACAGGGGACACTGGACTGCTGGCTATCAGGCCTGCCCCTGCTCTCCATGTCTGTTGGGTGTGCAGGAGCTTGGGACGTTCTCGGAAAGAGACATGGCATGCTGCCTTGTCCCCCACAAGCACCTGGAATTTTGGAGCTGTTTCCGAAGCACCTGCTGCCTCCTTCCCAGAGCTCAGGGCCACAACAGGCCTCCCCACCTACCAAAGATATGCTCTGTTGTCCTAGCCTCGCAGCCCAGGGGTTCCAGAAAAACTTCCCCGAAGATGTCAAGGCTCCACAACAGTGGGGGCTGGAGAGATGGCCCAGCAGTTAAGAGCACTGCTGTTCTTCCAGAGGACCCAGGTTCCATTTCCAGCACCTACATGGCAGCTCACAACTCCAGTTCCAAGGGATCTGGTAAAATAAAGTTGAATAAATTATTAAAAATATAAAAAAAAGAATTTAAAAAAATCCACAGTAGTCCCGAAGTGCTTGGGGAACACCTGGGGGTCTCCTCCTAGCCTTCTGAGCCATCACTCAACCAGTGCCTCACTCACCTCTGTCCCCCAGCAAGTGGAAGCCCTGGGCAGGCAGGGGCAGAAGGAAGTACACCCCAAAGTGTGGGACACCCCCCCACCGCCAAGCAAGGTGTGCGTCCCTGCCCCCAGCCCTCCTCCCAAGGGGGCTGTCCTTGTCAGTAAAGAGAATGAGATGCCCTGACGGCAGTGTCTGGGACCTGAACCCGGCTCGCCCAGGACAGTGTCAGGGATGCCTCCAGGGATGCTTCCTGTCTCCGCTGGGGCAGGGTGAAGCAAGCATTAAATAGAGCTGTCTTTCCAGGGAACTCTGGTGGGAACAAGGAGCAGGACCGCTGGGAACCTTAGGAAGGGCGTTAGTATACTTGATGTACAGATGAGAAAATTGGGATTAGGAGAACTACAGGGGCCACATAGGCCCAAAGTGTGAGAGGGATCAGAGACCAGATCCCACCCAGGCTCGACTCTGAAATATTCAGAGCCCCTCATGGTGTCTTTAAGGACCAGAGGACTGAGCCAGAGCTTCCAGGCGAGGGTCCTAGGGCTCCGGGCCTTCACTCACCCTGCCTTACTCTGTCCTGGGCCCCAGTGTAGGTATGGTCAACTGAACAGTGGCCCCAAAGTGTCCCCGCCCTAGTTCTCAGCCATGGGTGTGGGCTTTCACGTGTCTAGGAGGCTTAGCAGATGTGGTTACACTGCTGTTGCTGGGCCCGAGGAGATGGCCCCCAGCCTGTCTAGGTGGTTTTATGCAGACTCTGTGATGGGCGGGACATCTCAGAGAAGGAGATATAACCAGAGAGCTGAGACCTAGAGTCCTCCCTCGCCATTCTTTTTTTTTTTTTTATTGATTTTCGAGACAGGGTTTCTCTGTAGCTTTTGGTTCCTGTCCTGGAACTAGCTCTTGTAGACCAGGCTGGTCTCAAACTCACAGAGATCCGCCTGCCTCTGCCTCCCGAGTGCTGGGATTAAAGGCGTGCGCCACCACCGCCCGGCCTCCCTCGCCATTCTTGAAGACAAGGAAGGACCTGGAGCCAAGGGACACAGGTGCTTCTAGAAGCTGGACAATGTAGAGCATTTCGTCTGGAGCCTCCCTAGGAGGTAGCCATGCTGTGCTGGGCTTTAGTCCAGTCTGGTGAGTGACGGGTCCGCCGCCTCCCAGATGTCAGAGCAGATCTGACTTGCTGTAGACCACTAAGTGGTTTTAGCAGTCATGAGATACTCCTGGCTCTTCTTCCCTACTTGGGCCAGGGCGTTAAGAACCAGGTCTGAGGTGGGAGGCATGGCCTCCTGTCATCCAGCTTCCTGGTTTATAAAGGAGGGCCACTGGCAAATAAGAAACAAGCATTCATTTCCGTTTCCCCAGATGCCTCCGAGGAGTCCAGAGCAGGCTGGGATCTGGGAAAGATAGTGCCCCCACCCCTCCCTGCAGGAATCAGCCCCCTGGTGACAGTCCTCAGTGGAACCAGGGTAGCCATGGGTGAGTGTCCTGGAGCCTCAGGACTGGGCTGTACCTCCTCCGGTGGCAGTCTGCCTCAGGCTGAGCTTCTGCATCTCCCTGTGTTCACACAGTGAGGTGATAGAGGCTCCAAGGCTAGGGCCTGGCCTACCTGCACTGAAAGCCTGGTTTTTTAGTGGAGGCTAGAAAGGGGTGGGGATCTACACCTGAGGATGCCCTCCCCTGTCCACACCCGGAAATCCTTCTGTTCCTGTGGTTTCCTGGGCACCGACCCTCTGCAGATGTCCTGACTGGGCTTGTCACTCTGGCCAGGAGGCTGTTGCTGAGATAGGAAGGGTTTCGCTTCTGTGTTTCAGGGTGGCAAATCACATGGGGTCCTCTGGCCCTCTCTATCCTCCCTCTCTCCAAACTGACAAGGGCCCACAGAGCCTCATAGAGCTGAGAGTCAAAAGGAGCAGGTTCTAACCTGTGTACCCCTAAAAATAGGATTGGGAGGACTGTGAGCCATTGCTTCATCTCAATTCTGGTCCTGCTGAACAGAAGATGTGTCCCTTGACTTCATTAAGTCTCAGTGTTTTCTTCTCTAATTGTGGTCTGACTGTCCCCACCTCTTGTTGGTGGGGACCACATACAGTGAGTGGCCCCTGGGTTGGATGTGGCCAAGGTGTCCTGAGTACCCATCCCTAAAAGGCTTTGTAGGCCCCCAGGAGGTGGACAGCTGTGTTCACTCAGTTCATGTATGGAAAAGAACACCAAGGTCTGGAACCTAGAGCAAGATTCATCCCAGGCTTGTCCATCAGGCTGGAGTTAGTGAAGGGCCTGGGGGGGGCGGGGGCTGAGCAGCCCGAACTGGCCTAGGAAATGGTCAGCTGGCTATGTTAGGGGTGTCAGGGGGAACTGTTGGCTCAGACATGGCAGCCTAGGTTAATTCCTAGGTAGGTTCAGTTGAGGGGTTCCTGACATCTATGCAGGGCTGCTGAAGCAAGCTCATGAGCCAAACCCAATCCATCATCTGATGTATGAATAATAAAGTTTTATTGGTAAACATTCCCAACTTCACAATTTTGAAGCAGATAGCTGACTAGCTGTGGGAGACTGGGTAGACCTCAGACCTTTAACAGCTAACCCTCTGGCCCGTTAGAGAAAAGTGTTTGCAGCTTCCTGCTTCAGAGAGATATAATCAGCAGGGCCTGGACAGGGTCAGTTTCACTGTTGACATTAGAAAGGGCTTGGGGGCTGGGTCCATAGTGACTCTTGGGGGCTCCATCATAGGGGCTGGGAGTCTTGGGATGTGGAAGCAAAGTTAGGAGGACATAAGGAAAGCAGAGAGAGAAGAGATGTAAAGGGACCCCAATATCTGTCCTGGCCGGGAGGATTAAAAGCATGCAGGAAGGAAGGGAAGGTCTACCCAGGTTGGACTTGAGGGCGTGCAGGATGCCTGGCAAGTTCCGGCGAGCCAGACTTTGTGTCAGGAGCCCAGACCTGGAGTCTTAGCAGGGCATGGGCACACCCATGATTTCAGGAGGGGCTGAGGAGGACTGGATGGGACCGGAAAGGCAGGAGGGGACAGGCCAAGAGGGAAGCGAGAGGCCCCATGCCTCTGGGTGACCATTCTGTCTGCCCACAGCATCCATAACGGCGTGATCGCTGTCTTCCAGCGCAAGGGGCTGCCCGACCAGGAGCTCTTCATCCTCAACGAGGGTGTCCGGTGAGTGCAAGCCAGTCCTGCCTGGGAAACCCATCTGTGTGACTGGGGTGAGGGAGGGAAGGCCCACACCCCACCCTCCTGGAGACACCCTTCTAGGGCCAGCAGGGTGGAACTTAGTGGCTTGAGATAATGTCCACATTCCCTGCTGCCCGGTGCCTTCCAGAGGATATTTACTCTGTCGGAGAGGAAGGGCCCACCTGCTTAATGACCCAGTGCCATTCAGGAAACTGTCCAGCCGCGAACACCCCTCATTTCCTGCGACTAGCTGGGAACCAAGCTGTGAGGGAGCTGAGGACAGAGGAACGCTCTCGTGCCTTTGAGAGAGCTCGCAGCTGGCTCAGTGAGGTGTTGCCACCCTGTGCTGTTAACCTCTAGCCCTGACCCAGAGCATCCTGTCCTTAGACTCAAAAGTATATCTGGGAAAGTCAGCAGCGAACCTTCCCCTTGGTTGTGAAGGCAGGGTGTGAGGATAAACCCACAGGGGTCAACAACCCCACACCCACCTGAAAGGGCCCTTGTGTGGGTAAACTGAGGCCCGGGACACGAAGGGGGCTGGCCAGAGTCAAATAGAGAACGGAGCAAGGTGCGTCCCCAGGCCCTATGCTTATTGCTTACTTGTGGCACCCCGGTGTCCCTAGCGCATCTGGCCAGCCCAGGGTCCCCATTTTCCTAAAGGTTTCTTATAACAAATCTAACCAAATCTGCTGGTTGGTCTGGTGTTGGCCCGTGAAGAGCTCTTGCCTGGCATGCGCGAGGCCGTGGTTCTGTCGCCAGCACTACACACAGGGAAAGACTGTGCTGAATGCAGAGGGCAAAGAGGACATCTTTAAATCCACAGAGTAGGCGGGGCCCAGGACTCTTGACCCTTTAGTTGTGGCTGCCATCTCCTCTCTAAAAGGCCTCCAGCTCTAAGGGGTTACCCTACTCCCTAGGATGGATTGGGAGGTAAGGTTTAAAGAAGACACCCTGTGTCCCAGCTCCTGATTAGAAAGTAGGTAAAAGTCAGGGTGATGGGAGATGCTGGGTTCAGCGCAGAGCAAAATGCCAGAAATCCTTACATAATGGCAGTAGACAAGCCTATTGCTGTGCTGGCTGTGGACTCCAGGGTCCACGGCCGTTCAGAACTATCCCTTTCCACTCTAGCTCTCCTCCGCAGTAAATCAGCTAGGTCAAGGGCATCCTCAGCTATATAACGGGTTTAAGGCCATCCTGACGTATCTTGACCCTGCCTCAAATGAAAATTAACTGCAGCTGATTGTGCTTCCAATGCATAGCTGGTCATTGAGAGTCTATGGATGGAGCCATTAATGGCTACATACAATAGTTACCCACCACCTTGTAAGAACTCGTCAGTGACGTGAGCAGGGGTCTGTCCGCCCTACCTAGGAGGGACAGTCACAGTTGAAGTCTGCCATTTGCATCACACCTTTCTCCCTTTATATGTGTATGTGTGTGCACGCACACACGCATGCCCGTGTCCATAGAGCCTCATGCATTTTGGTCACAGGACACCTTGGCATCCCCAGACACTTCCACCATGTGAGGTAATCACAGAGTGTGCCTTTATAAGCCTAGATTGTTGATCCAGCTGCACACCTGTGGTGCAGAGTGTAGCCTTCCCCGTGCTCCCAGGCACCAGCAGGTCACTGTCCTGAGCACTCAGACACTGTGACACGGTGCTGTGTGTGATGGAGAAAGTACAGGCACGCTCAGTGAATTTCCAGCCCCACGATGTACCTGCACCGCCACCATCCTTGAGGGACCTGCCGCTTGTGCACTGGCTGTGTGAACTTTTATTCACATATAATTCATATACCATAAAATTCCCCCATAAAATGCCCTGGTAAGTCTTGAGTGTGCCTATGTGGTTGTATGATCATCACCAAACTTTCAGTTCATTTTGCATCACCCCAAAAGAGTGATGCAACAACCGCCCGTTATTCACCCCACTTGGCAAGCATGTCCACTTCCTGTCCCTGCTGACTCCCTCTTCTGGACACTTCATCTGAATGGCATTTCATGACAGCCTGCGGCCGTTCCCTTGGTGCTTTTGAGGTCTGGCTGTGGTGGAGCCGGATTTGCCCTGATTCTGCTCCATCTGATTACCTGTGTGGCCTGTGAATGATGGGGTGCTGGGTGCTGCTGCTGGGAGAATCCTTGTACAAAGGGTTTGGGCGTTTTCATTTAGTTCTGGGTTTTGTTTTGTTATCTATTTGTTCTTTTGAGACAATGTCTCATTATGTATCAGTGACTGAACTCATAGAGATCCTCCTGTCTCTGCCTCCTGGGTTCTGGATGTGGGCCACCTGCCTATGTTTTGTTTTGTTATTGTTGTTTTGCTTCATGTTTTTGAGACTGGGTTTCTTTGTGTAGCCCTGGCTGTCCTGGAATTCTCTCTGTAGACCAGCCTGACCTCGAACTTGCAGAGATCTTTCTGCCTCTGCCTCCCGAGTGCTGCAGTTAAAGGTGTGAGCAATCACCGCCCGCTTGGTTTTGGTTTTAAAGAGTGAATCTGGTGACTTCTATAACCTAGGCTGACATTGAACTTGAGATTCTCCTCCTTCAGCCTCGTGAGCGTCAGGATTGTAGGTGTGTACCCAGATTCTATGTTCAAGATTCTACAAGGATGTGTAGTATTGTTTCTCTTAGCATATGCTTGGATCTTCTAGGTGCCAGGGTTTCAGTTTGGATAAACTCCTGCTGCCTACAGTGTGAGCTGTGAGGTTGGTCCCTGCCTCTCACTACATTTCTTTCTGGTTGAGATTCTCACAGCACTGTGGCTGCCACAGTGGCTCCTTGTGGCTTTGGTCGGCATTTCTAATGGCGTCAGGCATCTTTTGGGTGCTAGCTGTCTGCTCATGCAGCTTCTTTGGAGAAGCATTGTTTTTTATCCTTGGCCACTGAGCTGTCTTGACTGTGAGTTGGCCTTTTTTTTTTTCAGTGTTTCTTGGTCTACCAGGTGTATCCAGCCTGCAGCCTGTAAATGGAGGTTTGTCTCGTACCCACCTGTTCCTGAATAAGCCTCACTAAGAGGCTTATATTAATTATAAAAGTTTGGCCAGGGGGCTGGAGAGATGGCTCAGTGGTTAAGAGCAGTGTCTGCTCTTCCAGAGGTCCTGAGTTCAATTCCCGGCAACCACGTGGTGGCTCCCAACCATCTGTAATGAGGTCTGGTGCCCTCTTCTGGCCTGCAGACGTACACACAGACAGAATATTGTATGCATAATAAATAAATATTAAAAAAAAAGTTTGGCCAGTGTCTCAGGCTTATTACTAACTAACTCTTACAACTTAAATTAGCCCATATTTATTAGTTTATATTTTGCCACGAGGTTTGTGGCTTATTACCTCACATCTTGCTTCCCCGGTGGTTGCTGGAGTTTCCCTCAACTCTACCTTCTTCTCTTTGTATTCAGTTGGGCTTTCCTGTCTAGCTCTATTCTGCTCTGCCACAGGCCAAAGCAACTTCTTTATTAACCAGTGATAATAAACACATTTACAGCATACAGAGGAACATTCCACTTTAGCAGCCATGAGGCCTCATGCATCCCTGGATGACTGTGAGTGCAGCTCAACACATTCGTGACGCAAACCCCCGTAGCACATTGTCAAGTGACTGGAGGCCTCTGGTGAAATCTAAGCCCTCATTGGGCACCACCTTCAGTCGTTCCTCCACATACCATATCCCTTCACCTTCTCATTGGCTTCCTTCGAGGCACAGAGGGGGGGTTCCTATTGAGGAAAGCTGATTACCTCCCCATCTTCCTTTTTCTTCCTGTAGCGATCCTCCTGTCTCTGCCTGCCCCCGAGTGCTCGCATTACAACTGGCATCCGTGTGCCTGACCATTCCATTTTTAATCCACAAGACTAGGGAGCAACTTTGAGTCCCGGGGCCTGACTCCGCCCACATTGTGTGCTTTCTGAATTTCGGACAACTGGTCACCGTGAGTTTAAGACCAGCCTAGGTCTCATAGTGAGCTGGAGGCCAGCCTGAGCTGCATAACAAGACCCTCGTCTAAAACCAGCAGATGAACAAAGCTTACAGGGACGGCTCTGCAGTGTGACTTGTTCAGAGCTTCCCACTTGGAGCACAGCCATTGTTTTTCAATGCTCCAGACAAGATTCGTACAATTGCCTGAGTCAGCGCTTCATGTAGGTTTGCACCAACGGGAGACTGAGTGTGTTCTGAACCTGTCCAAGGTGGGTCCAGCCATGCTGTTGTGTTCATTAAATGGAGTACATGCATTTATTTGCTTTTTGAGACGCAGGATCTCTTGTAGCCCAGACTGGCCTACAGACTCACTATAGCCAAGGATGACTGTGATGTCCTGACATGTGTTCCTCTGGACCTGGTTTTGTAGGTGTATTTTGGATGTGGGCATTTTCAGCTTCCTGTTCGTGTGTGGAAACAGCGCCCGGTCCACCTGGCTGCGCTTGCTTTGCTTCTGTTGGTCACTTCCTCTTTTTGTTAGGTTTTGTGCTTGTGTTTGAAGTTTCAGCCCTCATGTGTTTCCAGTTCCTGTGCGGCTTGTCCTTATTTCTGTTGTTTGCTATTCTGGGTACGGAGCCCAGGACCTTGTACATGCAAGGCAAGTGCTCTACCCCTGAGCCAGCGCCTGGTTTGTCTGTTTTTATAAAGCGTCTTGTGCAGGTTGTTACTGGGAGACAAGGAGAGGGTGGAGCCACGTGCTGGGTTGAGTGTGAGCGGAAGGACAAGTGATGGAGACCAATCACAGAGCAGCTTTGAAGGAAACGCCATGCTCGGCCACCAGCCAGGATGGAGAGGAACTTACACTGTAGTCAGTCACTGCGGCAGCTGACAGAGGACCATGTTGCTGGGAGCGGGGGTTCAAGCCCAAGTAACCAGGATTTGTGTGTATCAGAGCCGTGTGATGAGAGCTGTCCATAATTCAGGACAAGTTACATCTCCCAAGTAGCTAGAAAAGTTAGGACTCCTGCTTGGTTTGGCTCAGCACATGAGGACTCTGGATGTCGGGCTGTGTCTGTTTTCTTTCTGGTGCTGTGATTAAATACTGTGACCAAGAGCAGCTACCAGAAGGAAGAGTTTACTTGACTTGCGCTCTAGAAGAATAAGAAGCCATCATGGTGGGGAAGCATCAAGGGGTGGCCCTGGAGGCGGGAGCAGGAAGCTGAGAGCTCACATCTTCAAACCTAAGGGTAAGCAGAGAGTAAACAAGAAGTGGGACTGGCCCAGTGACTTAATTCCTCTGTCAAGGCTCCACCTCCAAAAGGTTCCACAGCCTCAAATAGCGGCACCTTCTGGGGACCCCAGTGTTCAAGGACCTTAGCCCATGGGGGGCGGGGGGGGAAGTCTCATTCAAACCCTCACAGTAGCCAAGCTTTCTCAGAATAGGATCAGGGCAGAAATGATTCCCCTATACATAAGCAGCTCTGTTCACAAAATGGAGATTCCTTTGTTAATCTGGCATGGGTGTGGACCCCAGGCCAGTAGTTGACTCTCTCTGAGCTACTCCTGCCTCAGCTGTATACGGGAGCCTCAGTCAGTGCCTGCCTGCCGCTCTATGAAGACTCAGTTCGCTACTGAGAATAAAGGGGAAGCCACTTGGGAAAGGAGGGCTCTGCCCGCTGTGGGATTCGAGCAGGTAGAAAATGGATGGAGCCCAGCGTCGCAGGGTCAGGCCTGCAGGTGTCTGTTTGAGGAAGTAGAAGACGTCATGATCCCTCTAGGACCCTCAGGCTTCTCTTACGTAAGATACATAGTGAGCCAGCCATTCTGTGGGTCACAGAGGGCAAATGTTCTCTTGGGCCGCTTATGTTGCTGTGCTGAGCAGGTTGGTCCCTGGCTGCCCTGATGTTGCCAGTCCTTACTAGCAATGCATGGCCTCAACTCATTCTCATCTCCCCTCCCCCACAGGCAGCTGTTGAAGACGGAGCTGGGGTCCTTCTTCACTGAGTACTTGCAGGTGTGTGGGCCTTGCCACGGAGGAAGGTTTGGTCTGGCTCTCAAAGGATGTCTTTATGTCATGTGACCTGTGACAGCCCGAGCAGCTTGCCTCTCAGGGTGGATGGGGTTTTGACTGTGGCAGGAGGGGGTCTCATGTCTCAACTGCTTATTGGTGGAGTCATGGGGGTCCTGTGGGCCAGACCACCCTGGAATAGCTGCAGGCCAGTGATGGCGCCTCTGCTCACTTTCAGAACCAGCTGCTCACAAAGGGCATGGTGATCCTTCGTGACAAGATACGCTTCTACGAGGGTGAGTCTGAGGTCTGAGGGTAATCAGCCTGGCTGAGGCCCTTGTGGTTGACATTCTGGAACGGTGGTGTGGCAGGTGCTGGGAGGGAGGGGTGGCTGTCTGGTTAAGATGGCTGAAAAGGAAAGAAAAGAAAGGTGGTTTCTTGGGCAACAGGGCTAAGAGGGGACCTTGGAGAGAGTCTGTCCCCCACACTTGGGAGCCCAGGAAGACTGTACAACCCCAGGGAGAGGCCCTCTGCTTCATCTCACTGTGCCCCTCAGCTTTTCGTCACCATGACAAAGCCAGCGCTTTAGAAAAGTGTCCTGTCCTAGTTTCATTTCTGTCGCTGTGGTCAAACACCCTGCAAAAAAGCAACTTAGGGGAGAAAGGGTTTATTCAGCTTATAACTCCAGGGACTAGGCCCTCATAGCAGGGACATCACACAGTCACAGTCAAGATCAGAGAGAGATGAACACATTCATGCTGCTGTCTGCCATGCTCAGCTCTCTTACGCAGTTTAGGACCCACTGCCTAGGGATTGGTGCCACCCACAGCAGGCTGGGTCTTCTCATATCAATTAGTAATCCGGGCAATGCCCCCCAGTCATACCCAGAAGCCAGCCTGATCTAGATAATTTATGATTGCGTCTCTTGCTGTGAGATTGTAGGTTGTATCAAGTTGACAAAGCTAACCATCACAAAGGGACAGGACTGATTGTCTCACAGAGGTCCAGGGACATGAGACCTCATCACGTTGAGCCTGGGATGAAGCCAGTATCCTGATGGAGAGAGCATGTGGCTTAGCAAAGCTATTGTCCAGGAACAACTTCTGGCCAGGAAGAGACCAGTGGCAACGTGTAGCTTTCATAGGCCCTCCGACAGTGCATGTTATGTTTCTTGTTGCCATGGAAAAAGCAGCTTAAGGAAGGGGACTTTTCGCTCACAGTCAGAGCCTGCAGCCCATCATGGTGGGGAAAGCATGGTGGCAGAAACAGGAGACAGGTCACATGGCACCCCCAGCCAGGAAGCAGAGAGATGAATGATGATGCTCAGCTCATGTTCTCCAGGTTGCTCGGCCCAGGACCCCAGCATCTACATCCAGGGCAGGTCTTCTCACCTCAGTTAACCCAGTCTGGAGACTCCCTCGCACCCAGGGCGGATAGATCTCCTGTTCAGAATCCTGCCACGTTGACAGTATTAACCATCACACCTTCAACCCACTTCCTCCCACCAAGCCCCGCCTCCTAAAGCACATTCAGCTCTGCACAGTGTCCTCGCGATCCAGTCACCTCCACAGCGCTGCTGGCTGGGAACCACACCATCAACACACAAGCTATTTCAGGGGCCACCTGATAGCCAGACCCTAACAGGAACCCCATCCATTGTCTGAGAGATCTCATGTTGAGTCTGTGAATATCCAAAGACCAGAGAACTAGATTATGGCAGGTCATTGTTCCCACACAGGGACATCAGAGACAGAAGGCAATTTGTTCATAGCCACAATACAGGGAAAGCCGAGGCAGAATTCGAGCCTTGGTGTGATACCAGGCACCGCTAGTCCTTTCTCGGGCTTCATAGCCACAATACAGGGAAAGCCGAGGCAGAATTCGAGCCTTGGTGTGATACCAGGCACCGCTAGTCCTTTCTCGGGCTTCACGGCTCGGCCCACATCATGAAGCAGAGGACTTTGATTGACTTCCTGGTCACAGCACTTGAGGCCCCTGGCGTCTGAGAGGGGCTTGGCACTATTTTGAGGCTAGTGTCCAGAAATTGCAAATTTCTCCTTTGCAAATTCCTGCTGTGTGCCTGGCCCTGTGAACATGTGATAAGTACCTCTGTGTGCCAGGCCTGGGCACATTTGGTGAGCACCTACTCTGCACCAGGTCCTGTACTGGCTTCAGGACGTGAGCATTTTATAGGCACCACTTTCTGTATACTAGCACCCGTGCTTCTGTTCCATAAGTACCTGCTGTGGCCAGGCCATGGTGGTGCACGCCTTGAGGCAGAGGCAGGCGCATCTCTGTGAGTTCGAGGCCAACTTGTTCCACATAGTGAGTTACAGGCCAGCCAGGACTACCTAGAGATACCCTGTCTCAGAAACCAAACCAATCACAAAACCCAGAAAAATAAAAAAGAAAGACAGAGGTCGGGGGAAAAAGGAAGGAGAGGAAGAAAGGAAAGAAAGGAAGGAAGGAAGGAAGAAAGAGAGAGAGAGAGAGAGAAAGCAATTAACTGCTCGCTGACTGTGGTGAACATGAGTTGAGTGCCTCCCGTGGGCCAAACATCAGATGTGTGCTCCGCATGGTTATGTCCTGGTTGGTTTGCTTCTGCTGACTGGGTGGGCGCTCCAGCAGCCCTGGGAAGTAGCCACAAGCACTCAGTCCCGCTGGGGTCGCCCTTGACACATGGCAGCCCAGGAGCAGAGCAGGATAACCCTGCAGCCCACTCAAGCCGCTCGCTGCTCCGGGTTCCTCTTCCAAGTGCCGGGCTGGGCCCTGTGCAAATGGCTGTCAGTCCCCTTCAGAGTCCTGCCTCATTCCAAGGGACCCCCGTTCCCCAACATCTTCCTCTATGTGTCAGCTAAGGCAGGCCGAGGCAAGAATGAGAAAGCCTGAAAACTGGGTGTGGGCAGGAGGCCCAGGGCAGGGGGCTTCCTGGAGGAGGCAGCAGCCAAGCCCTAAGAGGGTGAATGTTTGGCACCTGAGGAAGAGGCCTCCCACACCCTCCTGACCGGCCTGACTCAGCACATTCCTTGAGGTGCCTGTGCCTCCCACCAACGCAGCCCAGGGGAGCCAGGTCCTGGGAGAAGGGCAGCTTTGTGAGGCCCGTGGAGCCTCATGCCTGTGACTCAGGGCCTCCCAGGGAAAGGGGAAAGGCTGCCCTGACGAGCACTGTCCACCTCGGCCCAGGGAAAGCCACAGTCTGTGAATACATCTTGGGTGTCACATATTGCAGCTGCCCTGCCCTCAGGGCCCCTTTCTTAACTACCGTAGCAAGGAACCAACTGTGTTCAAGCTCAGGGAAGTCTCCCTCAACCTGGAGATAGAAAAGATACAGGCCCTGCCCTGCAGGGACTTATGAGGACTGAGACATAAACCAGATGCTGACAGGCCAGTGTGATGAATGTCAGGTGAAGGGAAACTCCGGGGCAGGAAGCGTGACTCCATCCTCGCAGCAGGGAGAGCTGTGTGGAGCTGTGGAGCTGTGGAGCTGCCGCTGAATATGGCCTCCAAGTGTGGTTGGCTCAGGAGTTTATCTGTCCCTTACAGCCGCACTGCTGCCCTGTGGGTCAGCCATCCCAGCCACTCTCCACCTCAGGAAATCCATCCCCTGTTCCCTGAAGCCAGCTGTGCCCTCAGCCTGTAGCTGCTGGAGGGGACACATGGAGGTGGTAGCCTCCAGAGGGCGGTCCAAAGCCTGGCACCTGCCCCCTTCTCTGCAGCCTCCTGTGAGGCCTCCGTCGTCATCTAGTTTAGGTGGTTCTAGGGGTGGTTCCAGGAAGCCAGTTGGAACAGGAGTGCTCTCTGCAGGGGAATAGCCTGACACCTCACAGAAGGTTCCCAGCTCAACACCCAAGAGGCCACAGAGGTCGGGGGCTGCTGAGGCCGGGGTCTGTGTCTTCTCACCCAGAAGCCAACCTCAGCGTAGCTGATGTGTCTGTGCACCCAGCAGCCTCCCCTCTCTCCCTGGCTGCCTGCCTGCTTCTGCCCCTGCCCCTGCTGTGCAATGTTAGCCCTCACCTCCATTATTTCTCTGTGGTCATTGCCATCCCTGGAGCCTGTGAATTGGAGCTGTACCCGCCTACCTCTCTCCTGTTCTTACTACCCTGTGGCCACATAAAGGGGAGACTGACTGCCCAGTGAAAGCCTTCATGGATCCTCAGCCTGGCCTTTCCCCAAAGCTCTCTGCTCCACCTCTGACTGGGGCCTAGGCAGGGTACACACATTGGCTGGCTGTGTCATGCCAGCAGCAAACACAGGGTACCTTGTCGTTCTTCTCTCGGGACTTACCCTGTTCCTTACATAGAGGGTGCCACTAGGTCTGGTTGGAAGAACTTTCCAGGGCTCCTCTACAGCCACAGAGCAAGGCATCAGCCTTTGTGTCTGACTTTAGCCTCTGCTGACCCCACTCCTCAGCACACAGCCCAGTCCGCAGTCCCAGGCAAGAGCCTAGCCAGGGACCAGGCTATCCTTCCGGGTCCCTGACAGCACATGGCTCCAGCTGGGGCCTGGATTCTGTGTTTTACAACATCTGCTTTCTGTGGGGTGTCCGCCCTGTGGGCTGGAGGACGACCTTCACTTGGTGGCACACTGCCCTGGCCGGCGCCCAGGGCCACCCCACAGCCAGCCAGGACTGAACAGTCTTTCTTCCTGTATGATGGCAGGAACTGAAGGGACTTTGTGTTCAGGCAGGGCTCTGAGGGGCTGTGAGCATCCGCCTGCCTGGGGCATTCCTGCAGCCTCCTGGCCCCTGGAGCCAGGTGTGGGCCACCCAGGACTGCCGCCAGGCAGCCCTGGGCGGCCACACACAGAGGCCAGCCTGCTCCTGAGGCCAGCTCTCTGTGCCCCCCATGTCCTCACTCTGTATGAACTTGGGGCTTTCCATGAGGGAAAGTTCCATAAGTACTGGAAAACTGGGCAAAGACTTTAACAGGCTTCCTTCATAGAAACCTGGAGACAGGCAGGCTGGACAGTAGTCAAGGACCCTCCCCCCACCCCCACTCAGACCCACATGGCAGCAGAGGCTTATGGGACACATACTGGACCTGTTCATTCCTAGTCCCAGTGACCATTTGTCTCAGCCGTCTACCCTGGTGACCACAGTTAGGTGCCCCATTCCCCAATGGCAGGCAGTGCCACTCTGCCAGAGGCCAACTGAGTCCCTGCAACTTATCCAGTTCCACACACAGCTGCTCCTTTCTCTTGGTAGAGGTGGGAAAAGGGTGGGATAGGGGGAAGACGTCACATGCCCAACATATATCCATCTGAGAAGCCAGTTCAGACACCAGACAACTCCAAGGAACCCTCCCTGCCAGTCCTTGGCTCCATGTCCTACAAGTAGGCCTGGGCCCTCGAGGGGGAGCCAAAGATTGCACCCCGGGTCACTGGCCCTGGGAGCTACCCTTTACCCACTGTCTCCCCATGGCTGTTCTGTATCCTGCTTCCCTGTCACATAGTAGGGGGTATCCAGAGCCACTCGGGGCTTGACTATCCCCAGTGCGCAAGATTGGGCCTGTACCAGTTAGGGGTTCTCCAAGTGGATGGGTGGGGAAGAGGGAAGCTGATGAAGGGTTTGTGCCAACGCCTGTGCAGGCATACTCAGGACAGGAATGAGTGCCAACCTTCACCGTCACCCAGGCTGAGCACCTTCATGGGTTAGTCTCATTGTGTCCCATCTGCTCTAGATTGTAGGCGTTGTCCTGTACCTATTTCACAGGGGCTCAGGGCGACAGAGCTGCCCTATGTTGGGGGCCTCAGGGACCTCCCACTCCTGCTTCGCTTCTTGTCCTGGATGGGTCCGCAGTGTGTTCAGGACATGCTATACTGGCTGCTCTCGCCCACAGGACAGAAGCTGCTAGACTCGCTGGCGGAGACCTGGGATTTCTTCTTCAGTGACGTGCTGCCCACGCTGCAGGCCATCTTCTACCCTGTACAGGTATATGGCTGAGTGCATGGGCGTTAGGGGAGTCTCAGTTGTCCATACACACTGCGGGTACCTGAAATAGCTCCAAGAAGAAGGACTCCAGGCCTGATGCTCCTCTCCTCTGCACTAACCCGGGATGTCCCTTACAGCCCAGCGGAGCCTGGCCTGGAGAGGGGAAGCCTGGTGGCAGAGCTGGGCCCTGCATCTTACATCTTTGTGGCAGGGTTCGTGTGGGAAATAGAATGGGGGAAGGGCTGGGTATCTCTAGGGTCTGTTCCCTCATCCCACCCCAGGCCTGGGAAAGAGGATAAAACTGCATGGTAAATGGGCTGGAGAGATGGCTCAGTGGTTAAGAGCATTGCCTGCTCTTCCAAAGGTCCTGAGTTCAGTTCCCAGCAACCACATGGTGGCTCACAACCATCCGTAATGGGGTCTGGTGCCCTCTTCTGGCCTGCAAGCATACACACAGACAGAACACTGTATACATAATAAATAAATAAAAAATATTTAAAAAAATAAAAATAAAATAAAATAGTTAGTTTAAAAAAAAAACTGCATGGTAAAAACAGGGCTACCATGCCTCTGCCTGTGTCCACAGGGCAAGGAGCCGTCGGTGCGCCAGCTTGCCCTGCTGCATTTCCGGAACACCATCACCCTCAGTGTGAAGCTGGAGGACGCACTGGCCCGCTCCCACGCACGTGTCCCCCCTGCCATCGCACAGATGCTGCTGGTACTGCAGGTGGGACGAGGGTTTGGGGATCCAGGACCCCAAGACTGGGAGATGATAGAGACCAACTGGGTAGGAAGTGGGCAAGTAAGGCCTTCGGGCCAGGATGTGAACCAGACCAGAATTAATTACTAATGACAGCAGCTGGCTTTTGTATGTTCAGTCCCCGGGAATGGACAAGGGCGTGTGCGCCTGTGTATGTGCACGCACACAAACACACACATACTAACACATACACTGGTTTCCAGAGCTGGACATACAGATAGACAGACAGACAGACAGACACACACACACACACACACACACACACACACACAAACATGCACACTGGTTTCCAGGGCTGGACAGACGGACAGACAGACACACACACACACACTGGTTTCAGATACTTGGTACAGATGAACTTCATCAACAAGACTGGCTCTGGAGGAGGAACAGTGGGCAGCTAGTTCAGCTGGAGTAAAGGGAGGTGCCCCAGGACAGAGGAGGGACATCTGACATATCCCCTTACAGTTGGCCAGCTCACCTTACTGAGTTCTCACAACGTGCAGTCTTTACAGGACTTTAGAGGGACCAACTGCCCTGTTTTACTGACAGGGAAACATTTTACTGTTCGCAGGTGTGCAGCCTCACTTGGATGCTCCCAGGCATCAAAAGCCTTGTAATGAGTCCCCCATATGTGTGGAAATCCTTTTAAAGTTAGGGTTTGTTGGGTGGGGCCTAGAGCAAGGAACAGGCTGCTGTTTTCAGGGTCTGCAGGGTCCAGGGCCTGCCCTGGGTTGGGGGCTGTGGTCATCTTGGAATGAAGCCAAGTGCAAGCCTTTGGGTGGGATTTTCATAGACTGGATCCAGCCAGGCAGGGTGACTGAGAGATGGAAGTTCAGGTCTCTCTAGTGTTGTGGCCAAGGAGGCAACCAATGCTCAGGGCGGTGCTGCCACCTGCTGGCTACTGTGCCTCCTGCAGCTTTCCCGCTATGGTCTGCATCCCAGCATAACCTTCTCTGCCACAGAGGCTTCTATTGTCCCACCTGCCACCTCTCCCCAGACTGAGTGACCTTACCCTAAGGTTGCTGTGAACTTGTCTGCTGACCTCACGTTGGTTCCCAGGTGAATCTGGCCCTCACTGTTTCAAGTCTTGAGTTGTTTGGAGGTCACAGTTGCTGGTCAGTGTGTATTGAGGGCCTACTCTGTCTCCCCTGCCTCACAACCCAGATCACAGCTTCTGCTGGGAGTCCGAGTATTAGGGTGCCAGTCACACTAGCAACCATGTGTGGGTCAGGTTTGTACCATAGGCAGGGGGAGATGTGACTTCATAAAATTTCAGAAGTGTGTGGGCAGGGCATAGGGGCACACACCTGCAGTCCCAACCCTCAGGAGCAGAAGCAAGAGGATCTCATAATCAAGGCAGCCTAGGACACATCATGAGACCTTATCTCAAAAAGATCATGGGCTGGGGTCCTGTCTAACCCTATGGGTATCCTCGCCTGCCTGTGTCTGCCCTTCCCCAGCCCCCAGGTGTGAGCAGTGAGAGTAGGACCTCCGGTGGTGAACTTGATGCGCCTGGCTATGGCCAGCTGTCTCTCAGAGGACCACCCAGGACACCAATGCCCGTGAATTTGGTGTAAATCACCTTATGCGACTATAGGGCACCCGGCCATGGAGGAGACTGCAGCAGCATCTGCCTGTCTGGGGTCCTCCTGGGGAAAATGGGGCAGAGACAAGCTGCTGCTAGGCCAGGGGATGACCTCCGTTCTCTTGCAGGGGGTACATGAGTCCCGGGGTGTGACCGAAGACTACCTGCGTTTGGAGACACTGATCCAGAAGGTGGTGTCACCATACCTGGGCACCTATGGCCTCTACTCCAACGAAGGGCCCTGCACCCATTCCTGCATCCTCGGTGGGTACTGCCTGGGGCAATGGTGTGGGCAAAACCAGGAACCCGCAGGGGCCCAGCTACAGTTACCAGCCAGTCTGTCCCATGCACCTGCCTGGTCCGCCGTGTGCAGATCTTGCCCTCCAGTAAGTAGAGAGGGGGTGTTGGAGAGTAGCAGGCAGTCCCCAGAACAGTGTGGCTGTCCCGCAAAGACCCACCATACAGAGAGCCTCCTGCATTTCCTAGATGTCACATCTGTACTAGCTCAGGGAGGGATGAGGTGACAACAGGCCCTATAGAGCCTGGTGCGTCCCTCAGAAGCCAGCTTTGCCATCCCTTGTTCATTCACCAATGTCATTTGGGCACCTGCTGTGTATCAGCCCAGAGACCAAGCCACACCCTCCTCTACAGTTCTGGTCTAGCAGGGAAATGTGTCAGTGAGTCCCTGTGATGACCACTGGCCTGCAGGAAGAGATGCAAACTAGATCATAGGAACAGACCACATGGGTTCACTTGGAAGGCTCCCCTTCATCCGGGCTGCTACCTAGGGTGTAAAGTCTTAATACTTGGGTGTGTCTCAGCTCAGGCAAGTTAGAGCTGGAGAGCTTTCCACCTTCAAGGACCAGCAGGATACCTGGTGGTCAAGAAGGCAACCCCTCTTGATCCAGAGAGGCTCCCTTGACAGCTTGCTGTACTCAGGAGTGCCACCTCATGGTCACTATGGGGCATTGCAGGGTCCTGCATGGAAGCCTTTCTCCTACATGGTCAAGTCTGTGTCTCCACAGCCAGGGAGGCCTGTAAAAAACTGCTTCATAGCACTGCCCACCCTGCAGTCCCTCCATGTAGGTTTGTCCCCTGGGTGCCAGCCTGTGAGAATAGGAGCCCAGTCTAACCTAGGAAAGCACTGGTACCTAAGATCCGTGGGCTTCCATGGGTGAGGACAATGAGACATGACTGTATGACTGACGTGGGGTCATTCACAGGTCACTGGAAGCTTGCAGATTTGAACCAGGGCAGCTGAGGTCCCACTGCCTGTTCAGGTCAAGGCTGGGAATGTTAAAGTTCTCTCCAGCCTTGGCAGGAGGCTTGTATCCTGGGCTGGTGAGGCCGAACCAGACCTAGCAGCCACTGAGCCTTTTACTGGGTGGGTTAGACACTTGACCCGAAGCTTCTACCCAAAAGTGGGACTTGGGACATGTAGGGACCATGTGGGTCAGCAGCCGCCATCCTGGTGTGTGACTGTGTCTGTTCCTGCAGAGAAACGGCTCCTGCGCCGCTCCCGCTCTGGGGACGTCCTCGCCAAGAACCCGGTGGTGCGCTCCAAAAGCTACAACACGCCCCTGCTCAATCCCGTGGCTGAGCACGAAGCGGAGGGCACAGCGGCCGGTGGTACAAGCATCCGCAGGCACTCCGTCTCTGAGATGACATCTTGTCCTGAGCCCCAGGGCTTTGTGGAAACACCTGGCCAGGGCCCTTCGGGGACCTTCAGGTCCTCTCCAATGCCCCACTCGGGGCCTTGCCCCAGCAGACTGTACCCCCCTGCCCGTTCCCCCGAGCAGGACCCAGCCCACGGCTCCCCACCCACCTCCAGCCCTGAGACACTGGTGGACCAGATCCTGGAGTCCGTGGACTCAGACTCTGAAGGAATATTCATTGACTTTGGGCGGGGTAGTCGCTCCAGTGTGTCTGACTTTGGTGCAACCGGAAGCCGGCCGAGTGTTGTGTGATGGCCTGAGGTTAGTTCATGGTTTTACTGACCCCTGCCTGTGTGTTTGTGCGTCTGTGGGTGTGTGTCTGAGAGAGAGACTTGTTTGTTACTCTTTCCTAATTTCACCAGCCCCCTTGTCACTGCCTTGGTCACTGTATGCTCCCAGTCTGTTGGAAAATCTTCCCACCTCCCCCCGCTCACCCTAGGTCTGATTGGGATGTCCAGTTGGCACCACCCAGATGCACACTGAACCACCTCGAGGATGGGGCCACCATGTGCCCTTCTGCCTGCCACACCCTTGGTGCCCACATCTACCCAGAAAAATGTGAAACCAGTGGGTTCTGCCTATGCCAGCCCAGCTTGGCCCCCACAGTGACGGGACTCCAGCAACAGCCGGACCTGCCTCCCTCTGCCCTTGGTAGCCACAGGAAGGCGTGAAATAAAGTTACAACTCCAGGCTCCTGTCTTCCCCCTGGTGTCCTTCTGGGACCCCCACCTCATTCACCGCTCCCTCCTGCCAGGGGCACATTTCCAAGTTGAGGGCATGGCCACTTGCCCATTGTCCACTCCTCCACTTGCTTTCAGGTCCAATGTCGCTATGTCTTCTTGATGGAAGGACCTAGAAAGCATATAAAGAAGGCCTGACACCTTAGTGGATGATATAAGACAGGCCCTACTGTGGTCCCTGGTTCCAGCCCCAGACATTGGCTGGGAGGCACCCACTGCAGCCAGGGAGGGAAGGGGGTTGCTTGCCCTTTGTTTGGGGGGGTTGCTGAAGGCCCTGGTGGTACAGGCAGCCCAGACTTCCTAGCTGCTCTAGGGGTGGCTCTTTGCCTCCAGAGAGGTTTGCTCAGAGTCTGAGGGTGGTTAGGACCTCCCTGGTCCTCAAATGAGCTGATTCTACCACCTGGTAAATGGACGTAAGTGTTCTTGAGTGCTGGCAGGGTGGCTACAGGCTTGTACCAGCCCAGCAGCTTACCCCGATATGCCATCCCTGGAGTAGTCCTCTGTCGTGTTGAGATCCTCTTTAGAGAGCCAGCAGGAGTATGGTCCTCTTTGATCACATGCTGACCCCTGCCCCAGACACTCAGGCCTTGATGGTCTGCTGGGAATGACAAGCGAAATAGCAGCCCCAGGGGCAGGGTGACCAGATCTGATCAGGACACAGGATAGGAAGCAGCTATTTCATTCTTGGGCTGCAAGGCCTTGTGGGTCCAGGGGATCTGCTGGAGATGTTAGGATGAAGGTTCCCCCACCCCCCAGGGTGGAAGAAACAGCCAGTTCCAGCGAGGGGTGGCCTGCTTAAGTTTCTGAGCCTGTGGTGAGGGCACACACTGGACTCCCAGGCTGTCTCAGTGTCACTATTGCTGTGATGAAACAGGCACAGAAGCAGCTTGGAGAGGAGAGGGTTTGGTTTACAACCCAGACTCACAGTTCATTGCAGGAAGCCAAGGCACGAACTTGGAGTCAAGGGCCAATGTGGAGGCCATGGAGGATTCCTGCTTGCTTTTTGTGATTTGTTCAGCCTCTTTTCTTTCTTTCTTTCTTTCTTTCTTTCTTTCTTCTTTCCTTTCTTTTTTTTTTTTTTTTGTTGCTGTTTCATTTTGAGACAGGGTCTCTCTATATAGCCCTGGCTATCCCAGAACTATGTAGACCAGGCTGGCCTCCAACTCACAGAGATCTACCTGCCTCTACCTCCTGGGTGCTAGGCTAGGATTAGAGGCATGGGCCACCATTTCCTCTTTGCTTATAGAACCCAGGACCACCAGCCTAGGGGTGGCCCCCTCCCACAATGGGCTGCTTCCCACCTCAAAGAATCTGGAGAGAATGCTCAGTTCCCTGGCTAGAAGCTCTCTGCATTGCTTCAGGCTCTCAGGGAAGTGAGACAGGCCCGTGACCTGGCTAAGCTGTGCCACCCTGTCTCCCTCAACACCAGCAAAGTTTAATCCTCAACACCCCCTTTGAAGGGTGGGAGTGGAATTATGGGCAGAGGGCTTCCACTGTGTGGGGGGGGCAGAGAGGGGGGTTCTACTGTAAGCAGAGCAATGATAATCAGGTGTATTCGTATTCTCTAGAGGACAGAACCGACAGACTATATGTAAAAAGTAGGCTCTAATGTCAGTGAAAGGATGGGCTCGCCAGCAGGAGTGAAAGCAAGCAGCCCAAAGCGAACAAACCTTCTTCCATGTCGTTATATAGGCTGCTACCAGTCAGTGTAGCCCAGATTGAAGGTGGTGGGTCTTCCCACCTCAAAGATCCATACTAAAAGTGAGTCTTCCCAAATTCAAACGATTTATTTAAGAAAAAAAAATCCCTCACGGGTGTGTCCAACTTCGTGTGTTTTAGTTAACTCCAGATGTAATCAACTTGACCACAGACCAGGTGTGCAAAGATTGGCACACAAGGATGCACCGTAGACGAATTTATGGCTAGGATGCCCCACCCACTCTCGGAGAGCCCTGAGTCAGGGGACCCAAATTCCTGGCTGAAACGTCATGGTTTCATGGTTTGTAGCTCCCCACTCCAGGCAGCTCCATTGCTCTTTCTCTGAGCTCCCAGATCTGTCCTAAGGCCACCCCCGTGTCCTACTATTAGCTACTGCTGGATCAGCACGGGGCTCCAGAGACGTCCCGGTGGAGGTCTCTCGGTGTCCTAGGTTGGTTCCATTGGTTTCCTGGGCCCACCTCTCTCTGCAGATATGCATGTGTGTTTCTGCCCGCCTTGGGCTGGGAGACAGATATTTGTCACAAGTGACAAGCCCTACTAATTGATCAACACACAGGGAAAGCGTGAAGAAGGGCTGTGCACTGCTGACTGTCATGGGGTGGGACACCAGGCCCTGCCTGTTGACCGTCCGCTCTGAGCCTCAATTCACTCTCCTGAGGGGAGGTGTTGGGGTAGGGAGCATACAGCTCTTGGAGATTTTTATTATGTTTTTTAATGTTGAGTAGGCTATGATGGCATTTGCCCTTAATACCAGTACTTGGAGGCCAAGGTAGATGGATCTCTGTGAGTTCAAGGCCAGCCTGGTCTATATAGCCAGTTCTAAGTCAGCTAGAGTTACATGATAAAATAATGTCCCCAAACAATAATAAGATGACGTTGAAAGCATGTTTCAACTGGAGTGACTCCTGGTAACTGACACTGCTCGGTGAGGCTTCCACTCCCATCTGCGGCTCTTGCCTTGTTCTGTGCTAACTCCCAAAGGCTTCTGAGACAATAAACAGCACTGCACCTCTCTATGGAGAGGATGCTGTCTTGGCCTTTAGAAGCTTGGCCTGTTGGAATGTGTGTCCATCTTTCTTTTTTAAAAACCTTTTTACTGATTTTTTTGTGAATTTCATATCATGCACCCCAATCCCACTCATCTCCCCATCATTCCATATCCACCCTCCACCCTTGCAACCCCCACAAAAGAAAACAAAAATAAATAAAAATAATAAAAAGTAAAAATAAAAATCTTGCAGCTCTTTTGCCCGAATGGTTTTGTTTGCAAATGTCCATTGTGTTGAGTCATTGGACGGGTTTGAGGCCTCTGTCTGCTACACTATCGATACCAGATCCTCATGGGGACTCCTCTCAGACGTCCTGTTGTTACCCTGTGTCATGGAGATCCTGCAGCTTTTGTTCTTCAGGCGCTCCAGCAGATCTTAGATGGGGCGGATGAGATGTCAGTGAGCCCTGGGAACTCAGTCAGGGTAGGTTTCACTCTTCGCAAGCCAAGCCCTCGGCTCTGTTCCCATCACTGGGGTTTGCTCATGCAAAGACACCACTGCTTCAGGCTGAAGGTATGGGTCAGTGGGCAGAGTGCTGGCTTAGTAGGCACAAGGCTCTGGGTTCGATTGCATGGTGACAAGTCATCCTTAGCTACACAGTGAGTCTGGAGCCAGCCTGGGCTACATGGAACCCTGTCTTTTATGTTTTGCTGTTTTGAGACAAGGTCTCACTATGTAGCCCTGGCTGGCCTGGAACTCACTATGTATACCAGGCTGGCTTCTAACTCAGAGATCCCTTGCATCTGCCTCTTAAGTGCTAAGATTAAAAAGGTGTGTGCCACCACCACCCACTGGACCTCTGTCTTTAAAAGACCCACCACTTTTCCATCAAGTTATCAGACACCCGGGTTTTATCACCTTTATCTGCTGTTTGGAGGAAAAGGCAAGCCAGGTCATGGGTCTCGAGGAGGCTGATGGGAAATTGAGGGACTTTATGGTCTCACTTGGGAGCTCCTTACTGTTAATATGAGAATCCTGCTTCCCGCCTGGCCCCTCCCTCACACCCACAGGACCTAGGATCTACCAGGTCAGAGGGCCTTGTTACCTGGCTTCAGCTGCTTCCTCTGTCCCCACCCTGTCCCAAGTCCAGTCATCTGTGACTCCTGCACTCAGCCCTCAGCAGCCAGGCACAGATGGCACACACAGAGAGATTAGGGCACAGTGCTGCTTTGTCCCCAGTTCTGCAACGTTCCTTCTGTGCCCTTGGGATAAAAGCCACTCTGGTGTCTTCGTGGTGAAGGTCATTTCATTCACAGAGATGTGCGCTGGCCTTCCCCCCAGCTCCTTCACCAATGTGCTCACAAAGCACAGGATTGAACAGTCTGTCCACCTGGCTAATGCCTCAACTGGAACTCCCAGGTTCCCCTGCACCCGTGCACGGGGAGGGGTGGAAGGGTGGGAGTGGGACTGGGTCCCTTCCTCTCCTTCCATTACTCTCAAAACCTTTGAAGCTTCTTTCAGGGATCTACCTGGGGCATTAGCACCTGCTTCCTAAAGCTCAGGGCTCTTCCCACCCACTCTGCTGGAAGCCTCGCTGTCCCTGTCTCCACAAGGACACTGGAACCATTCACACACACAGCCCTCCCACACGTCTCCACTCCCATGTTCATAAAGAAAGGGAGCTCATGCAATACTAAAACTTGGGATTGACCTTGAAGACAGTAAAGGAGAGAGATAGACTCAAAAATTCTTAGTCTCCTATGGGATATGGAATGTGACCCTTGCAAGTCTGGGTGCTAAAGACTAAAAGAAGGGACACCCATTCCAGCAGGAGAACTTGGTCTCTGGGCTCCAAGAGGGCCCGCTGGTCAATTGGTCATGTCTTAAGGGCATAGAAAGGAATTAGGGTCCTGGGTAGAGAAGCCTACACAGGATCTCAGACACATTTCTTGACAATGAGCCTCAAAAAGCCACAGAGCATCTCCCAGTGACCTCTGTGTTTGCTTTCTGAGTGCATCCATGTCTTGTGGACTCCTTATGTAGAGCAGGGTAATGGGACCGACTCTACCCAGGGAGCTCTCAGGGCTTAGATTGGGGAGCCTCCTGGAGCAGCATCGAGTCATTGAGTGGAAACCCACATGGGCTGTCTCTCCCTCGCTTTTTGGACCAGCAGCACTCCAGGTAGGCTGCAGATGTGCGGCCTGCATGAGGTGTGCACAAAGCTAGGGGAAGATGCTAAGCCTGGGGATTAGGGATAGGAGATGGGATGCTGTCATTTTAGCGATATCACTCAGTGTGACCTGAGTACACATGCCTCCTTCCAGGAGTCCTGAGGCTTATGGGGTCTCCAGCTGAAGAGAAGGCTGATGGGGGAATACTACACTCTATTCATGTATCCCTCACACCCCTTCTGGAGACAGCCAGTACCACTAGCATGAGTCTGAGATGGCGGGTATGAGCTATCTATCAGGCAGACCAAACAGCCTCAGTTTCTCCATTTGAAGCAAGGATCTTTGCAGATAACGACATCGTGTTGTGGTGACTTTGCTTGTCTGTGCCCGTGACTCACATGCAGGGTCATAAAGCTGGAGGGTTACAAAGCCACACCACTGGGGGCGCTGCACGAAAGGCTGCATTCAGCAGCAGATGGGTCCTCAGTGGGCTGTGACCTGAAGGAGGTAAGGGCTCAATACTAAAGCACTGACTTTGCCCCAGGACCCTTTTCCTCATTGGTGTTTACGTTTGTAGAGAGGGCAAACCAGCCCTAACCAACTGTAAAAGGCTATTAAAAGACACATTACTGCAGAGACAATCTCTCCTCGGGAGACTCTCTCAGCTTGTGTTTGGTGGAGATGAAGGCAACGTGAGGATGCGGATCAGGAAAGGGTCTCGTGTTAGCCACTTCAGCAGCCCGTTACTGAGGCAATGCTGATTGCCTGGTCGTAGGAGCTTCCCAAGTTGTCAGGAGTGAGGAGGCACACACTGCTTCCAGAAACAGTGTCTAAAACCACCCCACAGTGGAGAGTAGCCCTAAGGGCAAAGCAGTGACTAGTATAGCAACCCATAGGAGACTCCACTCACAGGAGGCTCCACCCACAGTAGACTCCACCCCCACAGGAGACTCCACCCACAGGAGACCCCATCCTACAGGAGGTGCCACCCCCAGTAGACTCCACCCACAGGAGACTCCACCCCACAGGAGACTCCACCTCATAGGAGATGACACTCCACAGGGGATCCTATTCCACAGGAGACTCCAGTTGCACTGATCCAAAATCAGTAGACACAGTAGCCATACCCAGAAGGCCCCACCCCATTACAGGGGTCTCTGCAAACACCCCCGCCAGCAGAGAGGCAAGAAGGCAGTGGGT